AAGCAAGCCCAAGTTTGAAAAGCCCAAGTTGAAAAGTTGTATTGATAAAATTAGAAATTCATACTTTTTCTGTTTACAAAAACATTGAACTTAAAATATAATTTTGTGAATGCTGAATTCCAGAAAAATTCACAAATTATATGTCATTAGTAATAGTCACACTGCCACGGGAAGAGAAGCTTTGACAGTTTGTATTTGACACTTATATGGTGGTCCTTGTTGTTTTAAGACATGTCTTACAGGGAAAAACTGTGGGCCCTGAAGTAGGAAGATTATCCATGATTACATTTAGAAAATAGGTCATCTTCTCTGTGTATCGTCTGGGCCGAGAAGTATGTTGTGGTTGTCAATACAGCTGTCTAGCAATTTATCTTTGACAGTGAAAGAAAAAAGAAATACCATACCCATGAATTCATGAGCAGATGTCTGTTAAGCTTTCTGTCATATCATGTGACAGCTGACCAAAGGCTTAAGTGTGTGTGCATGTGTATATGTGTGTAAGATTGTATGTGTGTTGGGTGGCCAGGAGTCTAGAGAACACTGAGCCTAGAATTCATAAGCATTGTGAGAATCATCCATTAGTAAGCAGAAAAAAGGAAAGAGAGGTAGAAAGAGAGGAAAATATAATTTAGGGGCTTAATTATAAATGTGACCCAATAGTGCTTGTGTGCTCCTAAGGAATATGGCAAAGATAACCTTGCCAATTCCCACTCTTTTCTCTGTGCCAGCAGCTGACTTTTTATGCTTAGGAGAAAATGCCAATAATTCTAGGGGAAACTTATGCTAAGCAGAAACTCTGATAAGTTTCTAACAACAGGGAAGTTTGTATAGGAGCAATTAGTGCAGGGATTTTTGTTAAAAAAAAAATAAAGAAATGTCCATGTCCCCAGTGTGATCTATAAGGACATAGCAGAACCAGAATAGACTGGTGCTTATGTGTACTTCTTCTCATGTACTTTATTGCTTTGAATTTCCTATGATGTATTGATGTTGAGTTATCAGTGTGAACATTATCTTTGGAATTATGGAAAAAAAGTGATGTCTTACTGGGCCAACACTTCTGAGTCCTAGCAGAGATGCAGGTGGCATTCAGCCAGGAATTGTCGAGGCAGAGAGCCTCGAGTGCCAAGTTTCAGTGAAATTTTGCTTTTGGCGACCCCCTCTTTTTTTTTTGGTATAGAAGCTCATCTGTTAAAAAGGCAATGGTGTTATTTCAAATCTTGGGTTATGTCTTTGGTGATGATAATAACAAGTGTTGCCAGTTGATGGTATATCATAGATGCCCTCCAAACAAACCCTGAGTATGCCCATCTAATCTAGGGACCAATTTCCCCTGATATGATTAAAGTCTAGCCATAAAATTCCTTGCTGTTTTCTCCAAAGCAATTTTTCTTAGATGAGCAAATAGCTAACTAACTTCTTTATGACCTTGTCTATGTTTTCACATTGGTAAAGCAGATAGATACTCTATGATTATCCAGTGTAATATTTGTATATATTTGTAATAACTTGCGTTGCCGTTCTGTGCATTGTTGGACATTAAAAGCATCCTTGGCCTTGCGGGAAGTTATCAGCATCTTCGGTCTCTATGTACACTAGATGGTGAGAACACCCTTATCTCTGACCACCACAAATGTCTCCCTACCTTGCCAAGTGTCCCAATGAAGGGACAAAGTCTTCCAAGTAGGACAAACCATAGGAACACATAGAAATAGGAAAATGTTTTTATTTCTCACTTTTCTATGACATGCTTATTTTCAAAATAAGTTGTTATCTTCTATGGTACTATTGATAGATTCAGAATGTATGTCTTTGGGTGCCTTCCAGGGTTGTTTGGCTCTTACACCCAATGCTCCATAGTTTCCACCCTTCTCAGTGTACTATCTTCTTTTACACAGCACTCAGTTGGAAAGACACTTAATGCATGTAAGAGGATGGTAAATAGTATTTTCTTTTCCCTCTTCTTTCCTTCCCTTCCTTAACTAAGTCTTCTGATTATACTGGGTTTTTTCCTTCGGTTATAACAGAGCATTTCTTGGCCTTGGGTATGTATTTGAATTGATTGTAATTTCATGAATCCTGGGTCAAAGTTGCTTTGACCTTCTTCTCTTTATAGACATGGTTTATGTCAAGTTCATTTCATCACTTGACTCTAGTGCCCCACTCAAAGATAGTTGTAGAACATGAATATGTCCAGTGTTACCCCAGTTTATCTACACACACGCACACACACACACACACACACACACACACACACAAGTACTCTGGAGGGATATGTTTCAAAGCATAATGCTAAAATGGGATTTGACCATTTCTATTTTCTATTTTTGGTACAATAAATACACAATGAGTGTTAAATTTAAGAAATAAAATAAATGCTTTAAGGAGTTATTCTTGAGCTCTCTTCAATAGAATGCAAGACTTGGCACCTGTCTAAGGGTGTTACTAGTAATGAGAGTTGATTGAAATGGCATTTATTTTTAGAAGACACAGGGATGCCTGAGTCACCCATCATATTTTAGGGAGAAGGATGAAACAAGAAACCCCAAAGGAACAGGTGAAGGTTTGAGAGGCTGAGTTCTGTCATGTGCTCCAAGTTTTATGGGTCAAGATAAATGTATGTGTGTGAGCTCAGACAGAACTTTCCCGAGCTCCCAGGGGGCTGAATTTAGCAGTGAGCTAAGGCTCTGAGCCTTACAGCGAGTCACCCAGCGGAGAATGGCTAGTGTATCCTGGGACTGTGTATATTTCAAAGCTTCCCAGTGAGTACACTGTGTTCCTACAAGCATGTTGGGCTTGCCTGTCTCCAAGTAGCTTGAATAGCAAACACTTCCCTGAAATTCCATTGGCTGATGAGCTGGCTCACAAGCTGGCCATCGCTTCCAGAGCCTCAGTGAACCAGAACTCATAGACACAGTTACTGTGTACTTCTAGAAACCTGAGTGAGCTCTCATCAGGGAGATGTTTAGTGTGGTATTGGGTACATACTCTTTCTCATCATGAGAGTGGTGGTATAGCAGACAGCATCCAGGCTTAGAGAATACATCAGACCCTAAATCCAACTTCTACCACATGCTACACTTCACATACCACAAAGAAGCTACACAGCCTCTCGCAACTCTATTTACCTCATCTATAGAATGGGCTTTCTCTTAGATTTACTGTGAGGATAAAGGCATGGAACATGGGGGGAGCAGCCTGGTGTGTAGCAGCTGCTGAACTTTCCTTTCTCTCTGGTCATGTCCCAGATCTGACTGACAGGTAGCATCAGTGACAAATTCACCAGCTATTTGCTATAAAGGGACAGAGTAAACACTTCAAGTTTAGTGGGACAAGATAGAAAAATGAGGGAACCACATGCACAATTATATTACAAAGAGAAAATACATTTCTCCCAGTTTTAATTGATGAAAGTTAAGAATAGGAGTGTAAAATGCTTCATAAATTTCTTCTAATATAATCCCGTCTAATATACCATAAAATGGAAATAAAGGAATTATTTTTGAAGGACTAACATTTTACTGAATTATGGTTCAGAGTTAGGGCTTCCTGTCATCAAATTAATCGCTGTTCGCTGTATAAACCATTCTTAACGTGTAGGATATACCCAATAGCAGACTGGATTTGTTTCATAATCACATCCCCACAGCAGGACATTTTATTTCTAAGGCCAATCTCTACATGTGCTCTGACCCTTCTTATGAGTGAGGAGTAGATGATTTGAAACATAATTGATACAGAAAAGATTTTTAAAAAGGAAACCGATGATTTATTGTAGGTGCAAGGACAGAAGATAAAATATTGACTGTGTTTATCTATACAATGCTAACTTCGTCACAAAAATTATAGTTTTAGACTCTCCATGAACCTGTGGAACTAGTGACGATAATGAATGTCTGGTTCGATAATTCTTCTTCTTTTTTTAAAAAATGTAAACAGTTTTTAAAGAGTTACCATCTGGAGAGGAGGCTAATTAATTCTTTAAATAAACAGACTGTGAGAAGCTGTCAGCGCACATGCTCATTTGTAATCAAATCATTCTTTAACTAATATCCTCCTTTGGGGCCAAAAATCTGGAAAAGAGTGAGAAGGAAGTATCTGGCCACACAAACTGGCCACCTACAAAGAGAGTAAATAGTTATGAAAGCAGACAGCCACTTAAACAGATTCTCCCTGCTTTTGATCAAGTAGAAGAGAACGGGCCTGTGTGGCATGATGATCAACTAAAGCAGGACTTACCATGTGGTACATAAATATCAGAGTTCTTTCCTCTTAGCCTTCCAATAACCTGGGCGGACAGATTCAGGTTTATAGATTAAGGGACTGACCAGTGCTCAGGTGAAACCAGGACCATAAATGGTCTGTGAGGTGTACTCTTCCCATAAGGGACCGCATCTCAGAGTTGAGCTTGAGACAGAAAGTATCCAATGGAATACTGGAGGCCTGAGCAGCTGCTGGAGCAATGCAACATGTGTATGAACTGATAGGCAAGGGCGAGACCGTGCTCTGAATACCTGATAGACGTGGATGTGAGCTGACACAGAGAGATCAAGGATGGACTGAGATGCTCGGGAGGACCCAAGTGTACGTCATAGCTCTTTGTTATTTGTGTGGCAGGAAAGGATGATCCCTTCGCAGCAGGCATTAGAAATTCACCAAGAGACCAATGATGGTAAAGCTCTTTCAGATAAGTGTTTAAAAGTTATGAGGCAGGTGCTCATAATATACAAGTTTTGCAACTAACTATTTCTTGGAGAATAGCCAGTTTTGAGGCAGCACAATATCAAGATGTGGTCCTGTGGCTGAAGAGTAATATTTAAGTAAAGCGGATGTAGCCGGTGGGCTTTGGTGGTGAGAGTCTTTAAAATATTCCAAGCTGATGCAAGCATTCATATCTCCATCCATGTGTCAAGATAACATAGACAAAAATGGTTTAAATTATTTTTAACTAATGTCGTGGAATAAGACACAGTCTACATAAAAGCTAATGAAAAGCAGAGGTACTTTCAAGCAAAATTTATTAGGTATCTACTCAAGAAAAACACAACAGCCTTTGCTTGTAAGAATTCAAAGTCAATTACCTGAAAGCCAGGTATGAATATTTCTTTTTCCTTTTAAAATCAGATACAGAGAGTATAAACAGCAATTTTTCTTAAATATAACAGGCAACAGAGTTGAAGATTTGTTTTCATAAATGGTGTGAAAAAGTATTCATTTATCAGCAAAGCTGCATGTGGCTGATCGGCTGACTGATTTTCCAATCCCAAGTTTTTCTAATATAAAGCTGGTTGTGAACTGGATCGTAAAGTGGATTTCTCTAAGATGTTTCTTTACCTCCTGCCCCCAACAATGCTCCTCTGTAACGGGCATGTACATGTATTTCAGATTAGTTACAAAGATCTTTCCGATTCACAGAATTTTGTGCAGATGCTATCTTCCAGATTCACATTAGCTTGTGATCTGTGAAGACACCATGAAAGGCCATCTGCTGAAAGAGTTTAATCTCCTTTAAGTGCAGGATAAATAACAAATTGGGAGATCTCGATGTTTTCTGAACAAGTAAATAGTCTGTACAAAGAAAAGAAAAGAAAAGAAAAGAAACAAAACAAAACATATGTACAAAATATGCTAGAGTTTATATGTTGTATAAGATCAAGCATTGCCCATGGGAAGAAAGCCATAAAAAGTTTTGTCTATAAGGTGCTAAGGATGAATAGGTCTTCTGCAAATTCATTCAAAATACAAAGCTAAATCTCAGGGTATGTGGAATGCAGGCACCGTAAATCCATGAAATCTTTCAGGTTTGGTATCATTTTGTAGATCTGTTTTGGGGGCAGGAAACACAACCTGAGTGATTTAACCATTATTTCCAAAAGTGCCCAATGTATTCCTAGGAAGTGTTTTACACACACCAGAAAAAAAAAATCAGGCTCAACATATATATTCCTGTCTGCAAATGGAGTCAGGATTCTGGGTCTTATAGAAGAAAAATAATTATTGTAGTAAAAATAGTTGTATTGATCATAACCCTTGCTAAAGCCAGCCTTAACACTCAGGATGCCCCTGAAGTACTCTATAAAATAATGTGGGATTCTTTTATATTTCCATAAAATGTACAACATAGCATATGGGCTATACGTCCTCATACAATCTCAAATGTGTAAGTGTGCACCCAGTGAAACCTACCTACTGGTATTACTTTCATCTCTCTGCCTAACTCACTAACACTGCTTTTAAGTTTTAACAGGTAAATAAACCACTAAGAACTTGTTGTTCACGATGCTGATGATTACATTTTAATACACGAAGCAGCACTGTGAATTCACAACACGATTTGTCCTGTAGTGTGGCTAAGCCTTTCGTAGTCTCATAAGAGTGACCAAACTGCTCGCTGTTTGCACTTCTAATAAGCACAAAAAAAAAAAAAAAGTGGACAGGGAAAAGACCCCCGTGTGAAAATGTAATGCAGTCTACAAAAATCACACTCATCCCAGGGAACGTTCCTACGGGCTCCTGATTTTGTAATCACTGTGCATGAAACAACGTAGAATAAGTGCAGGCAAACAACAGCCAAAGTATAGTTGTCATATAGTGTAAACCAGAGCACTAGGCAAACTCGTGAAAGGAAAATATACTGCCAAGCTTAGAGTGAAAATGAGAACCATAGCATTTCAGAAAAAAAGAACAACCTTCTGGCTTCGCTTCCTGAGGACAGTGTACCTTCCAGAGAGGTGGAGATTCAGCCATGAGACCAGACAGTCTCCTGAAGAGTCTTTTTCTTTTTTTCTCTTTCTTTCTTCCTTAATTATTTCATTTTTTAAAAGTATGATCACGTTGTTCTGATTCCATACATAGGCATTTCAAAGTTCAGGGCAGAAAGCAGGAAACTGCATATTTATGTGGATGAAAGTTTGCCACGTTTCTCTAAAGCTCCCAGCCTTCCTAAGGCTCACAGCGGTAGTCCCTCTGCTGGTGGTTTGGTGGCGGCGGCAGGTGGAGATGGTAATGGCCTACTGAAAACCATAAGGCATGGCAGCAACAGGTCTGCTGGGATGTTTCAGGTGGGTTAATGCAGATGTGTGGCTGAAATGTGGTGTAAATTAGGAGTGAGGTGAGTCACAGCCTTTTGACATAGTTTCCGGGAAAAGTACCAAAGAATTTGGTTCTTCTTGAAGTTCCTGAAAACAGAAGCAATAAATGAAAAGGTATGTAACAGCAATGGAATGTCATGTCCTGTGTCAGCTTGAAGACTTTCTGTCTACAAGGGTTCGCTGAGAATGCAAGCTCCAAGTAGTTTGGGGAGGAATGAAGAAAACTCACTCTAAGACAATAAAAAGAGAAAGCAGGCAATTTAATTGTCTTGCCCGATGTAGTCATCTTTTCATGAGCATAAAGGATAGATTTCCATCACAGTGAGCTAAGTGGGCAAGCCTAGCCTCTCAATCTAGAAAACAATGGCACAGAAGAGCTGGGTGGTAGGACTTGGGTCATCATGATGCTAAACAAGGAGTGAGAGATAACTGTGAGGTGGTAGTGGGACACAATGACCCATAAAGCACAGCGGTTGGTTCTGGAGCCTGAGGCTGCCTCTGCAGTACCACAGTGGCCACTACAACGGATGCTGCCGGTATCACAAGTGTTATAACCTCATGCTCAGTGCTTACCTCACTTGCTAAATAAAAATGAACTGCTGCATTTCTTAATAAAATATAGAATTCTGAGCAATTTAAAAATGTGCAAGACTGGGCACTATTTGTCTGGGCACGTGGAATGAAATTCAGCCATTTGAGAGTGATTTCTAATATGGTCAGTTAAAATCAAGTGCACACGTGGGTATCTTTATGGCCACCTCCGGTTTCAAATGATACAGTTCTTTGGATGCTTTCTACTAAGCCTGTACTGTGCACGTTAGCACAGTAGATTGGACAGGGCCTCTAAAATTCCATTTCCCATTAATGTTGTATAATTTATTGATTTGGTTTGATTCCTATTCCTGCAGACCCTGTATGTAAACCATTTCTCTTTTCTTCGAGATGGTGATTAATGCAAACAGCAGAATCTAGCGCACGTGTCTGCCCGTGTGGCCTCTGCTCTTGCATTGTCTCAGTTCTGCTGGACCAGTCTCGAGAAAGCTTTCCTCCTTATGCTTTAAGGTTTTTTAAAAAAATGTTTATGTATATGGGTATCTGAATGCACATCTCTGCACTGCAAGTCCACAGTGCTTACAGAGGCCAGAAAAGGTGTCAGGTACCCCTGGAACAGGAGCTATTGACAGTTAATAGCCAGCATAGGTGCTGAGACTAGAACCCAGGTCATTCATCCTGCTGAGCACCTCTGCAGCCCATCTCGCTTCTTTCCTTTTCATCTCTTTCGTTTGTGTCTGGTGTACACTTTTGTCTACAAATATTTTCATAGAAGACCTCATGTCACCTCTTCATTGTCTACCTTGCTGCTCCCCTCCCCTAACCACTTGGTGCTGGACCGAACAGTTGAGCAGTGGGGAATGATAAGCTTGCTCTTGGCTGAGCTTTCAGTCTTGAAGGTGGTAACTATTATGGGCTTGCCTTTAAAGTGGTAAGGATGGAAATTCTCCCCTCTACTAATGGAAGTGGGGATGGATGGACGATCCCTAGACTTTTGGGATTGCTACATCAGAACCAGCAAATGGGTCAGGTTTCCTTTCATCTTGCTCCTCATCAAAGGGCATCTCCCCTGCTGACTAACGTTTTCTGTTGAGCATTGCAAGGTGTCGCTCACCTGGGAACATTTGGAGCTTTTGTTATTGCTATTGTGACATCACAGCCATTGCTTGTTGGTGCCATTTAAAGAAATTCTCTTTAGTTGAATCAAGACCAGCAGAAAATCACATATAACGGAAGCAATAAATGCTACACTATATTAAAATGCAGGGCTTTGGGAGTATATAACACAGCACAAATTCAAAGAGAGACGACTGTCACAGTGAACCATGCACGTGAGCAAACTCAAACAGATGATGAAAACAGCTAAATGTATCTTAGAATAAACAGGCACGTACCCACGAACCATCCGTCATCGCACTTTTCCATGACATCGACGACATCGCTTTCTCTGAGTTCCAGCTCATCTGCATTCCTAGGAGTATAGTTATACAGAGCCTGAAACCTTAAACAGGACAAATGGGCATGCTTAATTGACTTCACATCTCGGTGAAACCGGAGAAGATTGTTTAAGTCTTTGCTAAACATGGAAAGTCAATGGAGACATTCAGATGCTCACGGGAATCATCCCACTTTCAAAACTTACAATGAAAAATATTCGGGGAAAAGTTATAATATTCACGAATCAGGCAAAAGCATTTTGCTATTTGTAGGCTAGACCTGCACCTAAATCATCTAGACATAGAAGGTCTATCATTCAGATGCTACTTAACAATATAGAATATTAAATTAATGGTACTTGTATCGTGTTGCTATAGCAACAACAAGAGGGATTGCAGATTTATCTAGTTATAACCATAAGCAAACAACGAAGGTGTAGAAATGGAATTCTCAAATGATTCTAAATTGAATCATACAGAGTATTTTAAACACACATTTTGTAAATAACAATGTAAGAATTATTAGAAAAGGAAGACTATGTTTATCATAGGAAATCCTTTAAAGCAGGACTAGTGTTATAATCTAAATCAGGATTTGAGATGCTGCAAAGACTTGATGTAGTTCACCGTTGCCCTTGAGTCATAGATGACCCTTCATGTATGGTCATCCGGATCCAGCTCAGCTGGTAGATTATAGACTTTTAAAACTGTGTCCCAGTAGAAAAAGCAAAAATCAAAACTGTGCTTGAGTTTAAAAGTCTCCTTTGAAATAATCATATGTGTGAGAGAGAGTTATGGAGGGAGTGCCGCCATTTTGTGTTTCTTGTCTGAACTCTTTAAGAGACAGATGGTGACACTGAATCTCTTTGACATCCACGTTTAGGACTATTAACCTTGGTGACTATTAGCACTGGAACCTTGAAAAGCAAAGGCTGGCATTATAGAGGCTAAGAGAGCGGGGAAGAATTTGATATGCAGTTGGAGGGAAAATTTTATGATGTAACTTATCTATCGCAGATATGATTGGAAAATTAAAAGGAGTGTTAAATTTCCATTGCTTTTTATAACTGTCGCACCATTGTGCTAATGTAGAAAATAACAACACCCGGGGCACTGTGGATTTATTTTAGGCCACTATTAAAAAGTAGGTGAGCCCCAGTTTTTTTTGTAATAAGACCGCTTTACTTCTAATTACTTTATTGAGCTGGAAAGAAAATCATATTTTGTAGAATAAAGCTGTTCGAGTACTTGAATTCAAACACTGTGCTATAAACGTGCAACAGCCTCACTGGCTTTTTACTCTACTCTTGAGTGTCCCCTGATCATGGGATGCAGATAAAGTTGGCTCCAGGGAGTTCTAGGAAAGAGCTCTGCCTTTCCATAAAAACCATCATCTTCTGTAGCCTGGCACCCAACCCTAAAGTTCCCACATTAGAGATTTCTTCCTATGTTAATAATGTTCTCCTCTAGTGGGCAATTTTAGCCATTTTTATACTTTGAGCCATTTGGAGTCTTCTGAGGTCTTTTGTTGGGAGAGGCTTCAGCTTGTGGTCAAGGATAGAAACAAAGACAGACCCTAGAAGAGGTAGCAAGAAAGACTGGGAGGGGCCACCTCACTAGGATGCCTGCCTGGAGCCGGAGAAGAGGAAAAGTGTTATGTTGTCCATGTGTTCATCTGAGGCTGGTCAGGTGAGAGAATGGTGTAATTTTGGATGGTCACAAGGAAAGGGGCTGTCAGCAAGACCCCATATCCAATCTCAAGCTTGAGGTGTGACATGGTCATCCTGGCTGGTGTGTTAATGGTTGCGTTCTGTAGTCACTTTGGGAAAGTGGATTTTCTCTCCTTCAGTTTCTTACTCTTTAGCCTTACTGAGGCTGATTTCCAACTACTTACAGGCCTATTTAAAGCTACAAACTGCAGCTGCTTGAGAACTCTTGAGGTCCCCAGAGCTAACAAACCGTCATTGGCGTGGATTCGCAGCTCATTTTTTATATAATGAAAGCCAAATACGTTTGTCAGAATTTATTTATCATAGTGATTTAATTAGATCTCGATATCTCTCTCTCTCTCCCTCCTTCCCTCCCTCCCTCCCTCCCTCCCTCCCTCCCTCCCTCCCTCCCTCTCTCTCTCTCTCTCTCTCACACACACACACACACACACACACACACTCATAAGTTTTTATGGAAACATAAACAAACCTTCCTGGAAATTCTTCTACCTCTGCTGGTTTTCAAACTCAGTAGCCCAATTAAAATAACAACAGTGCTGCTTTGAAAGAGATCAGTGAGATGGAGGTGGGGGGGAGAGGGGCGGATCAAGACTGCCTCAAAAATAAATTTGCAAATTTTTCTATAAACGGAACCTTTTGTTGTCCCTAAACTGGACCATAGCTACATGGCTTAGGTTTCTATTTTTGCTTCAGAAAAAAATATTTTTTTAAAAAATATGCAATTAGTTAGCATTTCATAATCTCTCTAATTAAGGCTGCAATGGAACATAAATACACTTTAATGTGTATTTTTCTCCACCTGTGGGCTCTGTGATTTTAGAACAGCCGCATGGCCACAGCTGCATATGACATAACAAAGTTCAACAGAACACACCTTTTCACACATCTGGAAAGCTGTTAAACAGAGCATGCTAGCAATGCTGTCACCCTAAACAGCTACTTTGTAACAAGAATGTTACAAATGGAGTGTAGTTTTGTCAACTAATTCTTTCATTGTTGGCACACTTAAAAAAAAAAAAACAGAAACATTATTGGAAAGTGTTCTTAAATTTTTCCAATTAAGTGAAGTTTTTCCGGACTCTTGTTTTTCACCTAGTCTGTCTGTGGAAGGGACTTCTGAAGAACACCTTCCTGGCTAGACTGCTTGAGAGACTGCGAGTGAGTGGTGAAGTCCAAAGGGTGTGTTTTCATCTATGAAGAACCAAGACTTTTGGTGCAGAAAACACCAGTTCCATACCAGATCCTGCTCGCAGAGAGTCATCTTTGGTCAGCATGTCTTTTACCATGTGAGCAGAGCTTGGGCAGAAAGCTGAGGTGTACGAGGCAAGGACTATGGCTGTGGCTTCTGGAGATCTCTTTTTGACTCAGCATAGGCAGGAGTCAGTCGGAAGTGAAGTGCCCTCTTGATTCTATTTATCTGAGTAACTACCTTGAACTGGGCCATACAAAGACAAAAGAGACTCTTAAAGACAATGGGTGATACTTTCGGGTTGATTTAATGTATGTGTCAGAAAGGAGAGGAAATTTGGGTGGAACATTTGAAAAGGCACATTCTTGCTGTGGTGGAAATTGTATTGTGCATTTGAATAGTAGTGAGTGCTTTAATACTGCTATTTTCCAAAAGACAGTTTAAAGCATGTGTTGTAATTTTGGAATTATAATACTAAAGTATACCTTAAACATACTTTTGAAGCATTCAAAGAAGTGGAAAAACAAAGTGGTGGTTACCAGTTATACAACCAGCAGAGGAAAAGGAGGAGTCAGTAAAACATTGGAAGATTTTTTTCAGTGCATAAATTGTTTTCTGTTCTCTTCTGTTATTTCTTGATATTTTAAATTTATTTGTATAAGTGTTTTGCTTACATGTTTGTATCTGTATGCTGGTACCCATGGAGGCTAGGAGAGGGTATTGGATTCTCTGGAACTAGAGTTACAGGAGGTTGTGAGTCACCATGTGGATGCTGGGAATTGAACATAGGTCCTCAGGAAGAGGAGTTAGTTCTCTTAACCACTGAGCCATCTCTCCAGCCCTTCCGTTTTCCTTTCAACCTTAGTGTCTGATCTCATTGATAAACAGAACAATGTGATCTCTTGTACTGGAGACCCCTGGTGCTATTCGATCCCCTTCACTTAGAAAGCCCTACTGTCCTCAGTGTCTATGTGGTACATATATTGCCCATCTTGTGGGTCAAGGTTAGTCTAGAATTTAGAAGATAAGAAGAATACTTACGGTTCTCCCCCACCTTGAATGTTTTCATGAGAGAACACAGGACGCTGTGGCTGAAACGAAATGATTTTCAATGTCATCAGTGTTTGAACTGGTATCATTAAAAAGGTAATTTGAGTAATAGCATGGTATGTTTTTTCTTGACATTTAATATTTCCTGTTGTAAAAAACCAAGAGGAAGAAAAAAAATCCAACAAATAAAGGGTTTCTGTATGCTTAGTAATTCAAGTATTTTGAAGGGTGCTTTAAATCAAAATACCCAAGGTTCAAACTTTTGAACACAATCTGGTCTCTTCAAGCTTTGGAAGAATGCTGACGTTTAGTCCCATTGATTTTTCCAAGGTCAGGAATATGGCAAGAGCAAGAACAAAATCCACAGAGGCGGGGAAGCTGGACACCATTCACTCTCATTCTCCAGCATGTTTTCAGACAAGCAGAAGGAAGCCACGTCTAGCCAGAACCACATTCGCGCTGAGCCTTTCCTTCACAGATGACATTGCCACGCACGGTACAGATGAAAATATTAATAGCCAGACATATCCCATGCTGGATTCGAGTTTAAATTCTCTGCTCTCAACCAGGTGAGGGCCGGGGCAGGAAAACACATGCAGTTTTCCAAAGGGAACACAGAGAACTTTAAGAAGAATGCAAACGGACAAGATCCAGGTAACATATAATGCTTTACCTTAGAAGAGAAATATTGGTAGGAATCCCCAGTGCACTGAACTCTCAAAAGAGTTTCCTTTCTTTTAAAACTAAGCATCAAGACCAGTATCTGTAATAGATACTTATAATATTGGAAATGACGAGCCTTAGCATGCTGTATAGCCACACAAATACTTCAGAGAATGAAATTTAGCATGTTTGTTGAATATGGAAGCACAGTGTAATTTACATCAGTCATCGATATGCTACATTTTAGGGAAAGAGATACAATCGAGTCATTCACATTTCATATGTTTTCTGTTAAATGACAGCTACCTGCTGAGATAAAAAAATGCAGAGCCTAGAATCTGATAATAATGGAATTAGTAGTTAGGGCCATATCAGGACCAGTGCTTGAATACACATCATTATTAATTGATTGTAATAAGTTAGACCGATTTCCCTGAGACTGTCCATAGAAACCTCTGGTCCAAGGGGTTGCAGTCAGTGTGAAGCTGTGAACAGACCCCTTTCTAAACTCAACTATCATTTCCCAACCCACACTGTTTGCTGAGTGCAAACGAAGTATTCTCACTGTCTTAAGCCTGTTAATTGGGAGCATTTTAAAGCAGTATTTCTGTAATTTTTTCAACACCTATGCATGGAATACACAAATTTAAAACTGAAGAATGGATAGGAATTACCAGCCCCATGGATGCTTTACTCATACAAAACAGTACGTAAACTTATAAAATATTATTAAATATAAAATATTGAAAGCATAAATTAGATTATTTTTAAGGATAATGAAGAGCAAGCTGTGTATAGTGGTGCATTCCTTTAATCCCAGCACTTGGAGGTAGAGGCAGATCTTAGTGAGTTCAAAAAAATTATAACAAAACATCCTCTAGATGTTTCTGAGACTTTTAATTCAAGAAATCATTAATTAGTGTAATACATGGAGAAATGAGTGTAAAACACCTGTTATGTGCATGTCACATTTCCGGTTCTTCTCTAATTCCTTTTTTAATTAACAACTCAGTCAACCTGTTAGTGAACGTAAACCGATGCACATTCGAAGGTGACAGTCCGTTATTTAGTATTGTCACTAGAATCTTACTTGTTCAGTACATTTGATCCTCCAGCCTCCTAAATTATTTAAAGAAATTGTCTCTTTGACCGTTAGGAAAGCTGGGCCATAGCTCTATGTGTGAAGCTCACGTAATTCCTGGGTGTGTAAGCCAGCAATTTCCTGTCTTTTAATCATCTTTCAAAATATGTCTTTCCCCTTGCCTCATGTCCTCCAAAACTAGCTCTTCCTCTTTCTTCCCGTTTCTTCCCAAATCATCAATCTTCCCCATAGAATTAACGTTCCCAGGCTATAATACGATACTACCTTTTATGATGAAGGATTTGCGTTATCTCATTCTATTGCGACTTTTGTAACATTTCCAAATGTTTCTTTGATAGGAATCTTCCTCAGATGAGCTGATAACTACTGGTCTGTCCCTAAGGAAAGTTCTGCAACCCCAGCATTAGAGTTAATACAGCTTACGGGTCCTTGGCTGGGAGAGGGATCGTAGTGTTGACAGTAACTTATGGATGTGCATTTGTTTCTGTGTGGGGCACTGTCTGCTATGGACCTTGGATACGCAGCTTAGATACCTCATCCTAAAATCTGTGAGACAAGATAGAGAGCCTATGGAGCCCATAAAGGAAGAGATAATTCACCTCATGGTTTCTTTTGCCATGTACAGATTCCTCTCCTCAATCTTACACGCTGCATAGTCAGAAAGTCAGCTAATCATGATGTATCTTTAGTCACGTGAAAACTGCTGAGGTAATAGTTCAACCTCAGTGCGTGTTAGTTAAACCTTCCCCTAAATCTAAAGACATTGGATCATTTACTAGATAGTTTGTCCTTTACTAAATGACAAAAAGAGATGGGAGGACAATTTTGATTGGCCCTTCATTGAACCACATATTAGGACGGACTAGATGGGCTAATTTGGTTAAACTCAGCATCTGCTGTTTGCATTTCCTGTGGGTAATTCAAGCAAAGAGCTTCCAAATGCAATCTCTACTACCGTGTGCAACCCATCGCCACCTAGTGGTGAACAGTGGTAATAACATGTTAAAATTGTTTTTGCCTTTTGTTAACAGGGATTAAATTCTTTCAGCCTAGATTGATTTTGAAAGGATATTCTGCAGCGTACAAGGTAACTTGAAGTAGATAATGATCTGTTTTTATGACCGTGCTCTTCCTTTTCTGCAGTCTCAATTCTCGAGAAGAAATGACTTGTTAGCCTGCGCTGTTTAAGGTCTGTGTTGACTTCTCTTTTAACTGCTCAGGCATTTCTAGCATGCAGAATGAATGTCTCAGCGGTGCTGATGTTAATATACGCACTTCTACCATTTGGAGAGGCCTATGCAAACTGTGAGCTTACGAAAGTAGCTTTCAAGTTAACACCTTGCCATTACCATGCGAGACATTTTGAGCAAGAATTGTGCTACAGTTATATCCTCTTGGTGAGTTTTTAGAGTTCAAAAAAGATTTGAAAACCCAATGATGCAACATGCTAGTGTCATGGCACCCTAAATATTTATCTTCTGTCTTCTCAGTGTCACCATGGGGATTAATTGTATGAAAGCAATGGTTTCATAAAGAGATTTCCATAAGTACATATTATGTCCTTTGGGTTTTCCTTTTTAGAAAAAGAAATGGGTACAAAGGAGGCAGGTTTTAAACACATGGTATTATGCAAAGCCAGGATCAATCAATAAAGATTAAAGGATCAATTGTAAAAAAAAATTATGAAGCTTCTTTGAAGCTTCTCCTAGAATCTGGGATCAGTACACAACACACACTATTGCAGCTAGAAGTTTGAAAGCCAAGAATTTATTTATACTTCTCTCAAGGTATCCTAGGAGGCTTGGCTATAGGTTAGATGATTCTTTAAAAAGTATGTGCTGTTCCATTAAAAACTATTGTGGAAAAAAGTCTTTGCAAGCACTACAAGTAGCTCTTGGGTTCCCAAGTTATTCTTTCTTAGCAAATGCTAGCTGTAGTGCTTATCGGCCAGAAACAGCGGGCTGTGACTCTGCTGACTAACAATACCACTTGCTGGCCTCTTTTCCCTCTTAGGTTAGGAACATGAAACACAAATCAAAATACATGAGAATCTTCTGGACCTCAAACATTTAAGTAATATACAAACTTATAAAATGGAAATACGGACAAGGGGGGAAAAAAACCTCAGGATGACTTAAAGCATGCCATGTTACTAACCCATGGATTGAGAGTTATGAGTTTCATTAACTTACTCTCTGTCTCTCTGTCTGTCTCTGTCCTCTCTCTTCTCCCCTCCTGCAAGCTCTTGTGTTAGCTCTGGAAGGCTGTTCAGTAGAGATTTAATCTCTGCAAACTGACATCCCTTCTTCCCTATGGCAGTATGAGTCTGCTTCAGCAATAAAAGCAGGTCTGTCTATGCAAATCAAAAGGCACAAATGCCTTACATATGACACACTACTTGCACTTACGAAATAGAAAGGGAACACTAAAAATTAAGCCCCAAGACCTTGAAATGCAGAGCTGTGTGGCAGGCCAGCCAAAGCTAAATCAGGGACCATTAACTTAGATATGGTGAAAGGAACCCTGGGGTCTGTACAGATGCAAACTCCCACATTCCTTGGCTGTGGTCCCCAGAACTCAGGGTGCCATTTAGAATCTGTCCAAGTTCTGCAGATGTTACAGAAGTGCATAGTTAAAGGAGAAGCGACTGGCTTCAAAAGGAGGGAACTGGGTGCACACAGACCCCCAGAGAGCAGCATCACAGGGAACAACATGGAGAGGACGCAGATGTATCTCCTGAGCAACGGAACAGTTTGAAATGGCTCACAGTTTAAAATAAATCCATAGAAACCATAAGGCACTAGGGTTAACATCACCGGAAGCAGGCAAGCTCGGTATGTATGGCTGGCCACAGTTTAGTTCTCTGCCCTAAAAATAGTGACTGGGAACCAGCAATTGAATATGGTAGGAAGAGAGGTGTAGGAAACAATGCACACTGCGCTCTTATTTGTGTAATGAAGTGTTTGAGGTGCCTTTTGGATTGGAGAAACTTTACACATACAACAGGGGAACTTGCGACCCATTCAGATCTGATTTCCTAGCTTCTCAACCACCGGTCATTTCATCTCAGGGGACTCCTCAGCCCCACTTTACTGCCTGATCACAGCAAAATCACTTAAGGAGGAGCCAGGGTGGCCAGGATGACTGCAGCAGGTAGGGGATGTCCGACCCTACCCTGTGGGAACCGCTGACAGGTGAGCCGCAGGACCTCTTAGACATCACTGGGCTCCGAGGCGGCTTACCCAGGACAGATGTCTTGCTTTTTAAGTCAGCCTA